CAGGAACGTCAGGCGGCAAAACTACAGCTGGCACAGGAGCATTGGAGGCATGTTCTCGTTTTTTCTTTTCACGGACTTTCTCTTTGATGGCTTGTACACTGATGCGCTGGGCAGTACTCAGGGCATCAGCAGTGATCACCCGGACAGGTCCAGGAGCAAACTTTTCCCACCTATAGACAGGAAGAGGGACAACAAAAGCCATCACGCATAAAATGAATGTAAACCACTGCAATCAACTCAGGCTTGCACCCAGCGTCACAAGGCTGAGAAGAATCACGGACATAGGAAAAGATCCAGGTAGGCAAGATTGGTGCTGGAAAAGTCTGATCACAATTGTTTGCCTTAGGGGGTGCCCAGTCCAAGGCCACCCTTTCATGAAAGGCGAAATGTTGCAAATCTGCTTGCTGCTGGGTGTCCACAAACTGTTGCAAATAGTTGGCCGCGTGGTGCAAGTTCCAAGGCTCTTGTTGCACAGCTCGAGCGGTTCGTAAGAACCTGAAACAATTAGAGCAGGGAGACGCCCTGAGGACATGCAGGACTTTAAAGTCATCTTCTAGAGCAAATGATTCAAGCAAAGAACTCATCACACTCACGGGTCCCCAGGGCTTTCCGCGGTTGAGCTTCCACAGTGGCACCTTCGACCCTTTGCAAGTAGTCAAAAGGCAAAGCCAGAATTGGCGGTTGGCTCAAAGATGCTGAGCTCACCCATTCTTTCACCAGCAACACCACATCCTTAGGATGCTTGGTGTAATCCTGGCAGGTGAGTTTGCCTAAAAATAAATATACCTCTACATTTTGCAGTTCCAAACAAGATGCCCATGGAATGCCAGCCTCCTCAGCAAATTCTCCCACGGTCCATGCCGTCTCCTGCGATGCATCATATTTGGGCAAGTCCTGGGACGATGGCAGTGGGTTAAGAAATGAATGGCTTTGGCCAGACAATTTTGTGGATTATGGAAAAAGATGCCGAGCAGCTGCACGGCGTACAAATCTCCAGCAATGATTGGTGTGCAGTTGAGGATTGGACCCTCTTGGGTTGGGAACCAATCCACTGATGACGACATCGAACTTGTCCACAAAAGCTTTGAAGTTGAGAGAGCTTGTCAAGACTTCGCACACCAACACGTGCCCACGTGATGGCACCAAACGCTTCTTGATGGCTTCTACAAAGTCCTGACAGCCAACAGTCAGAATTCAGAATCACATTGCAACCCATGTTGCTGTCAAATGCAACGGAGGTCAGGCCTGTGGGTGCTCCAGGACATTGCAGCTTGCCAAGCACGCAGCAAGGACACTGAACCTTTGATCCAAAGGGCCATGGGTATGGCCAACATCGCCAAATACGTGGGTCATAGAAGACAGCCTTGGTTCACTTTGTATGTGTTACACAGGAGTGAGTGCATGTCAGTCTTACTGGCTACCAGTCTCAGGAGGCAGCCTGCCAAATTGAATTGGCAGACTGACCGCCCCAGCTGGCAATCAGCAAGTATAACATTGACATTGCAGCAATGCTGAGCAGGGAGTACGCAAAGCAACTTACCATGGATTTTTTCATGTCCAAGGGCGCCATTTCAGTCACGGTCCGATGAGTCAGATGAACTTGAGTCATCCCAGGGAAACCTTTCCAATGAACGGTCTTGCCATCCTATGGCCACGATTCGGGCCGGGCGCCGCTCATAATACCACATGTTCCAAAAAGATTTGGCACTCTCAGACCGCCAATGGAAAGTTTGCACTGTCCGACATTGGGACCATGACATGCCCTTGGGTGGAGTGTGAAGTTGACACACTCGCAAGTGCAACACACCATGACCCAGGGCGCGGTTCACTGCTCGAAGGGCGGCATAGACCCGCCAGTTCGGCCAAGCGCCACGGAATCGGATCTCTGCCGGCCACACCATGATGCAGTCAGAAAAGTACTGACCAATGCGGGTCCGGAGTCGGTCACTGCGCTCCCGGACAAGGCGCAGGTTTTCCTCATAACTCACATCGTCACCTTCATCCAAAACAAAGCCATATTCACGAAGGTGCCCGCAAAACAACACGATCATCCACAGATGGTCAAAGAGCAGGGGTGCAACAGGCACAGGCTTGTGCTCCATTGGTTGGTGACACTAACACGGGAAATGCTTGCGAGCCCAAAATTTCTGCACGCAGTGACATATGCGTGCAAAAACCAGGTGGATACTTGTCTCCACTGACAGCCAGGCAAACCAAATCAGGGAAACACTTGCAGACTAGCTTCCGGGAGGACGCCACCAAGTAGGCTTCTACCAGGCCCATGAACTGGTTCTTGCCCTCTTTGACACAGTTGTCAGTCTGCAAAGGCAGCAGGACAATCATGATGGCTGCCACGCGCGAAATTAACACAAGTAATCTGCAATCAACATAAACTGAAAATTTCTGCCTCAAGCACACAATGGTGGGGAAGACTGGTATCCCGCTTTTTCAACTCCTCCATGGCAGTGTCCATGGCGTAAGCAAAGATGGTTGCTTCCGTTCCCGGATCTTTGGGGACATCACTCTCCAAGATCCAATAACATTCGGCAACCTCAGACAATGAGGAGCCAGAAGCACAACAACCCAAACACTGAAGCCCCACATGCACATCAGTATTGGACAAGACACTCCCCAGAACAGAGCTCCGTGCAAATGCAACTGAGGTCTCCAGAGGCCCTCTAAAGCCTTTGCACTGGAGGTGTTGCGGGGAACGCGAAACTTAGCTTCATCTGCAGCATCGATATCCACTTTGAACAGCTCATGTGCATTGTCCTTGCGACCAGGTCGAAGGGCATCTTCTGAAAGATGGTTGAATCTGGTTTGGGCCGCACGCCATTGCAGAACCATATCCAGATGCTCGGACTGAGCTTTGAGGACTTGCTGTCGGTCATCCCCCCGCGCTGTCTTGATCCTCTCAGTGAACTTGGAGCATGTAGTGCACCTTTCATTGCTGCATGTAATTGCAAAAATCAAAGCCATGGGAGTTCTCAAGAATGGGTGGACGGGCCTCGCATGCTGACTGGGCTTCCTAAAGCCAAGACGGTCGCTCCAACTTTTGCAGGTGGCTTCAAACAGGGTCCGCCCAGCACGATCTTCTTGAGGAAGTTCGTGGCTATCAGCCCAGATTTCATACTCCGCCCGAAAAGCCTCCCATGTCATCCAGGTCAGAAACCTCTTTTGTCGCCCACGGATGCCTCGCACAGCAGAGATGACGCCCTCACAGGAAAGGTGTTCTTCATACCTTTCCGCCCAACACATCCCATAAAGGCCAGCCAAGTTTGCCCAAAAACCCGGCACTGGCTAGCCAGAATGGCCCACAGACGGATGCCCAAAAGCTGGCAGCCGAAACAACACGGCCAGCCAGACCTTACACACTTCCAGGCAGCCAGGCCTGAAAGGCTGGCACACCTGACAATGTTGTCGCAGCCAGACCTGGCAAGCTGGCACACCAAAACAGAATTTTGGTAGCCAGACTTTCCAGGCTGGCACGCGACAACCAGACTCCACCCAACGAGCCAGACTGGCACAGCCTAGCCCACCCACACAGACGAGTGGCCACCCAAATCTGCGACATTGGCAGCGCAAGGGTTGAAGTCTGCTGTTGCTGCATCTACAAACGCCGTGCTTTCAGGTCCACATGGTTGCAGAAGAGACTGAGGCAACCCTTGGTCTTCGGCGCCAATGATGCCTCAGCCAGTTTGGATTCAATATTCTACTATCCAAAAGAAAATCAAAAGGGAGTTGACTGCCCTGCGGCCCAAAAACAACTTGTGCCCAGCAGGGATCGGACATATGGCTCATATTCTGCAATGTCTTGCTCAGCCAACGGTTCTGCCTCAAAAAATGCAGACAGGATCGGCTGCTATATTGCACAACAAACAATCACTTGTCCAAGCTGAATGGCCAAGTAGTTGTATGCATAGTTCAGGAATCCTTCCACACTGTGCCGCATCTTGGAACACGTGTCTTTCTTCATGAGGCCATTCATGTTTCTCATGTCGGCCGGGACCAGCCCCGTACCAGTGTGTGGAAGCAAGCGGTTCACCTTCAGTAGCGAAACGCAAAAAATTAAAATGAACTGAAGGCAATCTGAAAATGAACTGAAGGCAATCGCACTTCACACATCAATCACATGAGTTTACATTTCTTCCATTGGGCTGAAGCACCCTCTTCACATTCACACCCAACAGGGAACAGAAGGCACTCTTGCAGACTCGGAAGCCACAAAGACGGTATGTGCTCCTACTCTGTTCCTAGCAGATCACAAAAGAGCAAAAAGATTTGACTCAGGAACTCATGCTGGAACACGAACAGGCCTCCCCCAAATTTGAACTCGAAAGCAAGGACATGAGGTGGATGTTCTTCTCTTGGTTTTCCATGGCATCCATCTTCGCTTTCATGTTCTTCACCCGCTCATTGTCTGCCAGCTTCTGCTCGCAGCCCAGGCTACAGCAACCAAGCCTGAATGAGGTGGCAAGGCCAATTTGGGCCTTTCAAATGAGCCATTCGGACAGCTGAGAAACTTTTCAGGGCTAAATTTCAGCCGCTTCACAGGCATCTCAACCAACGGCTCTGGGGCACTGAAGTCCCGCAGCCCACCATCATCATCTGGCAGCACAAGTGGCATGGCCAGACTTCTCAGCTGGCTGCCACGTTAGCGAAGTCAGGAGCCAAAAGGGCTGTGTGATCAACAAGCTCACTTGCATCACGAATGCACAACTGTTCACACTCACTCTGTGCACCCTGCAACTTTGGTAAAGCAGTTTAGATGATGTGCAAAATTGTTTCGCAACAAATTCACACCAGATCACACAAAGACTGTAAACACCTAAACAACCCATGATTAAATCATACAGTGCGCCAGCAGGGAGCAACCCCAAATTAATTTTTAATACAAAAAACACAAATATGTGCAAAGACCAGCATCCCCAAATCTAAAAGGCAACAACCCCAAATGCCCCAACTTAGATTGGACGTCGACCCAAAGCGGCCCTGGCCAGGAGCAAATCGTACCAGAGCCCACGGACAGCCCTTTGCCTCCTTTGTCCTTGGTGAATGTGGTGGTCTCATATGCAGTGGAAGCTTGGCTGTACATCAGCACTGGGTGCAGTGTGTAGAGAAAGATGAGCTGATGTGTAGAGATTGAAGGTTGCAAAGAAGTCATTTGATGGTGGGCCAATAGGTATGCTTCAGGATTCAACTTTCCAGGCTACATAGTCATTTCTATACAGAAAACGGGCCTCCATTCCTGGTTTTTAGTACACATTGCTCCCCTCCGAAGGCCAAACTAAGGATGATAACGGATCTTGAGAAGGGACACAGTGCATTTTGTTGATCCTTTTTCCATCTTTTTCCGCCAGGACACCTCTTCTCACCTGCTTCTCATCCTTTTACTGCAACTCACTTGACTGAGCGCAAGCCTCACGTCATCCACTTGACGCGCTGGACACCGCCGAACGTGCGGGTCCTTTTGGTCGCCCCACTCCGCTGCGCTTTGCACCAGAGCACAGCTCCGACAGGTGTGGTCTTTGGGACGTCGAAGCTGTCCGAAGCGACGGACATGTGGTGTGCAGGTGGTAAACTTGCTTAGTTTCGACCATGGTAATTTGTCCTGCCTGGAAGTCTTGGATCCTCCACGAAAGCCATGATTTTTTGGAAAGCCACTTAGAAAAGGTCTCCGCATTGCCTTCACTTTCGCACGATTGAACCAGGCAACTACGGGTGAGGTTGAGAGTGAGCCTTTTGAAGACAACGGACCTGAGATCTATCAGCATTGCGGCCATTGGTAGAACATGGTAGAACAACACGACTTGACGTTCAACCGATGTGACTTCCATGTCTTGGGTGATCCAACGGTGTTACTTCGAACCGCGCTCCCACTTCCGTTGGCTCTTCGAACTGGAACTCTTCGCCACTTCTGGATCTACCAGATGTGACGCATGAGATCCACACGGACGACCTCCCAGCGTCACCACCCGTCACCGGGGACGACCTGACCGTCGGGCCCCGATGGGGAATCGTTTGAACCACAGAGGCCTTCACTCCAAAATGGTCGGCTTCTGATTGGGCTTCCTCAGTTTGCTGCTGAGTTCGGCCAGTTGCTCAAGGCCACTTGGCCACTTGGCCACTTGGTCGACAAGAACTTGGCAGCTCTTGGCAGCTCTCCTCCAGGATCATCCATCAGGAGCCAGCACACCCACCTCGTCCTTGAGCTTGGAGCCAGGTGGGGGAGACGGGCGAAACCAATGAAATTTATAGATTTTGTGTGTTCACATTGAATGTGTTTGAATCCACACTCATTGAATCGACCATTTCTGTTTCATGTTCCCTTCCCAGGAACTTGGACTGGTGGCTGTGGAGGTGATATTTGTTGATTGCAGTTGTGACACCTGAGAAGATCTGTGGCACTGGTCCTGCTGAGAAGATCTACTAGGCAAGGACCGGGTGTTGATCACTTGTTTGTTCCGCTCTTGCTTTGTCATAGATTGCTGAAGACCTTGGTGTATTTTGAGAATTTACTATGCAGAGAGAGTTGTTGCCTGAGGATGGCTGACGAAAACGCAGCGACCACAGATGGAGCAACAGCCTGTTTTATCGCCTGGAGACAGTGCTGAAAAGGATGCAGTAGTATCACCATCTTGTGTTTGAATTTGTGCTTGTTTAATTATTGCTTGAGGCTGGGCTGACAAAGACAACATAAACGATTGGGCATTCAGCAAGTGTCATTGGCCTAAGTCGTTTGTTTGTATGTGTACCAAGAGCAGAAGGGGCTGGGGCCTTCATGGATGCTGGATATAAAGGAGCCATGAAGGCGAGAGCCGACGTCCATGCATGGCATATGGGGATGTTCAATCATTTCGACCATATGACCCTGATGGGGAGCGCTCCCGTGAACGGAGAGCGACGGTGATGCAGACATGTTGCTCAGAACAGATCACACGTAGAACATGGGACACGAGCACAAGTTGGACATGAGCGCCGATAAGCGCTGATTGTTTACAGAGGTCATGACGTGTCGTGGTGTAGTCGAAGGCAGCATGTTCGAGCTTTGTTACATGGCAGGGTGCTGAGTCGCAGAAACATGCAACACATCAATATCCCAACTGCTTCGAAACACAAGCATTACACAGGTCCAGTCTCTCTCCCAGTCTTTGGATTATGGAATTCAATGTGGTGGCCAGCTGTTCAGTGTCCGCAAGGTATCGGTGGCCATTTGTCAGACCACCACAGGTTACAAAAGCAACACTGTGTCTTTGACGCCGATGGCAATGTTGGATTCAGCTATTGATGGTGTCCTGAATGGAATTAATGAGTGTCTTTCTGTTTAAGTCTGTGTAGGGCACTGGCTAGACCATTGGCTAAAAAAGATGCAATCTATACACATCCATTTACCTCGACAGGGAAACATGGGGTGTCCCTTCCAATCTAAGAGTTCCGAAGGTCCTTATGAAAAGTTCAGTAGCTTTCAATATGAAAGACGGGAAGTTGTTACAAGCATCGCCCCTCAAAACAAGCAGGACATCTCATTTCTTCATCAAACTGCCAGACTACAGATGATGGCAATGACTGCCATTTATAGCCCCCGCCTTGGATTTAATGGAGACAACTTGACCTGGGCAAGTCCACTTTCATGTTTTGTACCTCTGGTTGTGATGCATTTCACCATCAACAGTATGCGTTGGTCGCCTGCTTTACAACTGAGTTTCAATCCAACTGGGCACCATCCTCGTGGCCATACCTTATGCCTCAATGTCTTTGGCAGAACAAATCAACATGAATACAAGACCAAAGCAATTAACATATAGCAGCTTTGGACAAAGACGGCTCCACACCAATCTATGTGTTCTTCTGTTACTATGTGTTTTTTTTGTTTTTTTTTTCGTTGACTCAAACTGAAACTCCAACCCACGATTCGCCATGCTTTGTCAGGTGACATCTTCCTGACAGCACTGCAACAGGCAGAGGCGGACCTCCTGAAAGAAGAAGGAATTGAACCCCAGGAGGTAGCTGCGACCGCTGAAAGGATAGTAGCAGCAGATACCAGGAGTCATAAGACCGGATGTCGCACACAAGGAGGACAAAAGACGGTGTGGTATTGTCACATCTGCTCCCCATGGTTTATCCTGCAGATCTTGCGACTCGTCACTTCAGAATGCGGATAAACCGGCAGGTGGGGCTTCAAAATGCGCACCGCGCGGTCTTGGGGACCATGGAGGCAGACCGGACACCTGGTTTGGGCGTGGACACTGCAAGTGTTCCGCATGATGCTGACAAGAACAGATGAATCATGATGAATTTGTTTGATGCTTGATCCTAAACCGTAAACCCTCCCACTTGACTAATTAGAATGCGACATTACTATACATATGCAGCCGTTTTCCCAATCACGCCAACTTGGGGCGAAATGTCAATTTAGAGCAGAACAACTCCATGCGACGCGTGAGCAAATCCAGGCCGAGCTCAAGCACATGCGCTACGAGAACATGCGCTTGCGAGGGATCTTGGAGGAGGCACGAAGACAATTGCTGCGAAGACCATCGCTGTGGCGATGGCCCACAACTAGGAAAAGACCTCGGGTTTGAACAAGAGACGCTTGGGCTTTCGAACAAGAAAGGACCTCAGGTTCGAACAAGAGACCCCCCTTCATTCGTGGAAACGGAGATGTTCCGGATGAAAGGTCATGAAGACTCTGGGGCTTTATGGGGCTTTTATTCAGTGCATACATAGTCACATAGTGTATCTCCAAAAAGCAGTGCATCAGATCTGAAGATGCTGAAGTAGGAACCAGATGGAACCGAAGATGTTTGGTGCCGTCTTTCATGGACGAGAAGCAGACCAAGAGAGGCAAAAAAGGTACGTCGACTCCGCTCAATGTGTCCTTTTTATGGTACGTCAACTCCGCTCAACTCCGCTATATGGTACGTCAACTCCGCTATTGTTAAATAATGTTAAATATATTAGGAAGACTTCTAAAGTTTATGTTTAACGTCTATGTCAGTATTCGCTCATGAGGACTCGCCAGCGCGTTGGACGCTGGCGAATCCAAACTACCAAGAGGCCAAAGACTGGCCTTTCTTTCCTTTATGACCCCCTGTCATAGACCACCGGTCGTAGAAGTTCGTAGATCCCCACGCAGAAAGAACATGTAGACAGGAAGTCCCGTGCCATGGTCATCTATTTGGGGACCACTTCAAAAAGCCTCCAAGTACCTTCTTGATTGAGGTACGGTGATGTGTTCGACACTGAGACATGGCACGGTGAGACGGTGCCAGGAGGGCCCAGGTACCTTCTGAGAAGGTACTGTACCTGGATCCCTAGGGATAGAGCCCCGTTGCAGCGCACCTTTGCGGCGTCGCACCTCTAGGCAGGTCTGGGAGAGAAGCTCCGTGCTCCGCGCGACGAGGCGAGGCGACGTGGCAGCCGAAGAGAGGTGTCAGAGAGCCGAGTGCTATAGCTGCTACGGGTCCACAAAACCCAGAAATCTGGGTCCAAACGCTTGAGGGAAGTGAGGTAGACCCTTGACAACCCCTTTTTCAGGCTTTTGAAGTATACGAGGCTTGCTGAAAGACTTGAAAAACGGGTCAGGTGGAAAAATGAATTGCACATGTTGACCTACCCAGCGGATAACCTGCAAAACCTGTTGTTGGGGATTGGATACTCTCCACTATAGATGAACTGTGGAAACAAACTGGACATGTTGACTGCCTTTGGGAAAGTTTGATTGTTTCATGTTGGTCGATGTAATTTGCAACCCACCTGGCTTAGAACAATCCGCACACATTCACTTGCCATGTTTGATGACCACCAATGATGTACACTCGCCATTCCAGATGCTGGTGGGAAGCGGTCCCATTGAGAAGCCAAGTGCTGCCAAGCGCCTTGGCAGAATGTGCAGAAAGGTTGTAAGAAAAGTCGACGTGCATCAAACCTATGTCCAGAAGTTCCAAAGGCGTGGATTGTGGGCAACGCTACCGCTTCGTAAACCACCCCTTTGGAACGTTTGTTTTGTCATGTCCCCCGTGTTCAGTTCCCTTCCGTCCCACCCAAAAACACCAAGTCCATGCAGAGTTAGACACAATCTGAGGAGTTCACGTGAAGAAAGAGCTGAGAAGGTGCCTGAGGCCGTGCAAAGCTTCCATGTCATGAGAGTGTTCAAGTACTGGCTTCTTGTGACAGTGATTCCAGGATTCAAGATTATTCCAGCTAGGTCAAATGCTGTTGACTCTTCATTTTCTTAAAATTGCAGATGACATGAGGATTCGCTTCCAAGGTGGTCACTGATGGTCACTGTCAACTCACCAGAACCCAATCGTCTCGTGATCCGATTTTCAATCCCGAAGGCTCCAGCAGCTTCTTCCGCCGTGGAAGCTGCAGATGCAGAGATTCAAGCGACTTCACAGGCGGCATA